AACAGGTCTTCAAAGAGGGAGGTGCCTTTCTCTGAAGGGAGGAGAGAACCTCCACTTTGACTATGACCTTGTCTAAACAAGATAAAAGTCGGAGAACTCAAGGGGCTTCCATAGCCTTGGAAACTCATGACTGGTGCATAGGGAGATTACTGATGCCATAGACAGGAGTGTCAATTTGTAAAGTCAACAACAGGAGTCACTGTGCACTTACTCCTCATGTAGGATCTCTGTCCTTAATGTGCTGTACACTGAGGCTTAATGCTATAACGAGTACTCAAACAGTATATTTCACTTTGTGTTTCTATGGGGGTGCAAACGATTGAAATCTTTACTTAATGTACACTAAACTGATCTTCTGTTAAAAAAAAAAAAAAAGAAACTATCAATTCCCAACTTGACTCTCACTGGGATTAAACATGACAATAGGTCTGATCTGATTTCATCATCATTTAAAAAAAAATCATCTATTATTTTTCACTTTATGTTTCTGTGTGGGAACAAACTGTTGAAATCCTTACTTAAGGTATACTAAGCTGATCTTCTGTATACTAAGATAATCGAAAATGAATCTTGATGTGAATGGAAGGGGAGAGGGAGTGGGAAAGGGGAGGGTGGTGGGTGGGAGGGACGGTATGGGGGGGAAAGCCATTGTAACCCATGAGACGTACTTTGGAAATTTATATTCATTAAATAAAAGAAAAAAAAAATTCTGTTTCCCTTACTGTGAGGTTTTTTTTTTTTTTATACTATGTCCGTGTTAAGTGGACTGCCTGCTGTTGGAGGAGCCTTGGAGGCTTGAGATGGGTGTGGCCTGAGAGCTCTGCTTGGTCATTCAGGGTTACAGGTGTGCAAAGGTGACACCCTCAGGTTATGCGTGGTAAATCTCTCTTTATTTATTCATTTATTTTATTTTATTTTATTTTATTTTATTTTATTTTATTTTATTTTTTGTTCAGGAGGTAAGTAATACTGCAAGGCTGAGTAGAATGGATGGTATTTAGGTTCCACTGGCTTCTACCCAAAGAGTCTGTGCAGGCTCCGTTTCTACTGCAGACTCCCACTGGGTTGCCTAGGCTACTGAATTGTAGGCTTAACTCTCCCCTTTTATTATGTATATCCCAGCTCTTTGTCTCTTGCTCACCTTTGCAAGGTTGGCGGAGAGTGGAACTTGTCTGTACCAGTATGCCCCCACCTATTTATTTATTTATTTATTTATTTATTTATTTATTTATTTATTTTTTCCTTCTCTCCTGTAGTCTGTTGGACTTTCCCGCTTCAAAACCCGCGTCCCTCTAAAATTCTGTCTGCCGTTTCCCCGCCAATGTCTCTGGTTACTGAGCTCACCTCTGCTTCCAGTGCCGATGTGTGGACTCGGAGCCCTTAGCGTCACTCCTCTCCCCGCTGGTGTCTTTGTCACATAGACTCCCCTTCCCACACTGGTGCTCAGACTCTGGGGCTCCTGTGGTTCGGCTTCCGCGTGGTGGGTGACCCTGCTCTCCCAGTAGGTCCTTTGGGTCACAGCGAATAGCTCCGGAAGAGTTTCCTCTGCAATTTTTTCCTGATCCTTTTTCTGAGGCTACCGTAACTCTGCTTTTATTAAACTAAATTTTCCCGGACTACCGGTGCGTGCCCTCACTATTCTGCCATCTTGGCTCCGCCCCCCATGATTTTAACTTTTAACTTGCTGAAATCCTCTTCCCCATTCCCAACTGCTAGCCATTACTCTATACTTTACCTCTATGAACTAGGCTTCTTTAGGTTCTATGTATTAATGAGGTTATTCTGTATTTGTCTTTCTGGCCTGGCTTTTTCATTTAATATATTTTCCAGTTCCATGAATGTTGTCACAATGACAAGATTTATCTTTTTAATTGTTGAATAGCAGCCCTTTGTGTACATATACACCAAATTTCCTTTATTCACTATTGATAGATATTTAGTTTGATTCTGTATCTTGGCTCTTGTCTTACAATAAACATAAGAATGTGAAAACCTCAACATAATGATTTCAATTTCCTTCAGTATAAAAGTAGTCATGGGATTGCTGATCCTATGGTAGTTCTATTTTTAATGTTTTCAGAAACCTACAAAATGCTTTTCATAATGGCTATATTGATTTACATTCCCACATAGAGTGTTTATGGGATCACTTTTCTCCACATCCTTGCCAGCACCTGTTAACTTTCGCCTTTTGAATAATAAACATTCCAGCCAGGGTGATATGGTATCTCAATGTTTTCTTGATTTGAATTTCCCCAATGATTAGTAATGCTGAATGCTTTTCAAAATACCAGTTTGTCATTCATGTCATGTTTTGTGAAATGTTCATTCAGGTCTTCTGTATATTTTTAAATGAGATTATTTGCTTTATTTTTTTTTTAAAGGAAAGTCAGGCAGTGAAACACAACCAGTCAGAGAGAACCTGCATTTGCTGATCTACTCCCCAAATGCCTGTTATGACCATGGTTGAGCCAGCATGAAGCTGGGAGCCAGGAACTTCATCTGGTCTTCCCACATGAGCACCAGGGACTCAATTACTTAAGCCATCACCTTCTGCCTCCTAGGGTATGCATCAGCAAGCTGGATTTAGAACAGAGCTGTAACTTGAAATCAGGCATTGTGATATGGCATGACAGTATCCTAACCAGTGGCTTAAATGCTAGGTATTTTTGCTCTTGAGGTGTTTGAGTTCTTATATACTCTGGACATTATTAACATTATCAGATGTAGAGTTTGTAAATATTTCCACCATTCTGTAGATTATCTGTTCACTCTGTTAATTGTTTTCTTTGCTATGCAGAAACTTTTTAAGTTCAACATAATCCCATTTGTCTATTTTTGCTTTCCTTGCTTGTGCTTTCCATCATGTCCAAAATATCAAGAAAGGTTTCTCCTGTTTTCTTTTGATAGTTTCATAGTTTTAGGTCTTACACTTAAATTTTCAATCAATTTTGAATTAATTTTTGTAAATTGAGAAAGATTGAGTCTTCTGCATGTGCATATTCAGTTTTCTCAGCATCATCTTTTGAGAGACTGTCCTTTCATTAATGTCTGGTCTGCTCATGTTGTCAAAAATCTTCTGGCTGTAGATGTATGGCCTTATTTCTAGACCTTAAAACACAGTACCTCACTATAGCATCTGTAGGTATATTACCATGTTTTTGAGATTATTTTTGATAAAAGGAAATAGCACATAGGATGCTTCTTTCTCTTGGTGTTTGCCATCCTTAATTAGGAGACAGCAAGTGCTTTGACAACTTAGGTTTCCTGTGCATGAGACTCTATTAGAGTCTCTACCGGGCCATGGGAGGAAAGAATCCCACTGAAGCAAGGAGGAGATAGCAAAAGGCAGAGATAATGGGAGCACTCAACACAGAAGAATGGAGCTAAGAGACCCAGTCTGTGTTCCTCACCCTCGGGAATTCTGCCATTATGTGAAGCTGTTGCCTCAAACCCAAACCTTCCATCACATTGGATACAGCCTCTGCCTCAGGCCTACAGTTCCTGAAATAGGAATAGAGAAGATACAAAAGGGTGGACAGAGATGGGTGAAAATAGAGAGTTGATGGAGAGACATGAGAATAAGAAAATTAGATGGGGTAAAAGGTATTTGTACCTAGAAACTGCAATTTAGTTAGCAATAAATTAAACCAGAAAGTGCTTTCACATTGTGTGTAGGTTCAACAGTAAATGACTAAGTTTAAATCTTTTTTTTTTTTCAGATTTTTCATATATTTGAAAGGCAGTGTTACAGAGAGAGCACGAGGGACAGAGGGAGGGAAAGATCTTCCATCTGCTAGTTCACTCCTCAAATGGCTAGAAAGCCAGAGCTGCACCAGGCTGAAGCTAGGGGCCTGGATCTTCTCTCAGGTCTCCCTTGTGGAGGCAGTGCCCAAGTACTTGGGCCATCGCCACTGCTTTCCTAGGTACATTATCAGGAAGCTGGATCAAAAGTGGAGCAGCAGGGTCTTGAACCAATACCCATTTGGAATACTGATGTCAGAGGTGGAGATTTAACCAGCAATGCCACAACACCAATCCTTTAGCTTAGATCCTGAGTCATTAAAGTTTTTCACAGAAGGAACATATTCATTAAAACATAGAAAGCTTGATTTGTATGAATAACAGATAACAACCTTTCAAGTAAGTTATTTAGATGTGAACTAAATGTCAATCAGTCATGTATTTTTAAATTCTATAGCTCTCCTTCACATGCAGCAGCATCCTTTGGTGGAGTTATCAATGAAATGTGAGAAATAAATGAATACATAGTTATATTAATAGATAATTACATGAGGAACAGTTTTTTCAACTATTTGTTGTACTCTTTACTTAATAGTTAATCATATGTGTATAAAGTTAATTGAAAATAGATCTTAGTAAAAAATAAGAGTTGAATAAGAGAGAGAGGAGGAAGAGCAGTGGAAGAGTAGGTGTGCAGGTGGATACAGTGGGAAGAATTGTGATGTTCAAGCCAGCATTGTGGCTCAAAAGGCTAATCCTCCACCTAGTGGCGCTGGCATACCGGGTTCTAGTCCTGGTCGGGGCGCCGGATTCTGTCCTGGTTGCCCCTCTTCCAGGCCAGCTCCCTGCTGTGGCCAGGGAGTGCAGTGGAGGATGGCCCAGGTGCTTGGGCCCTGCACCCCATGGGAGACCAGGAAAAGCACCTGGCTCCTGGCTCCTGCCAGGATCAGCGCGGTGCGCCGGCTGCAGCGGCGGCCATTGGAGGGTGAACCAACGGCAAAGGAAGACCTTTCTCTCTCTGTCTCTCTCTCACTGTCCACTCTGCCTGTCAAAAAAAAAAAAAAAAAAAAAAAAAAGAAATAAACAAAGTGGAAAAAAAGAAATCAATGATATGGAAACTAAAGAAAATACAAAAGATCAACAAAAATAAAAGCTGGTGTTTTGAAAAGATAAACAAGATATATAAACTTTTAAGACCAAAATTTAAACCTAGAAAGTTATAAGGTATCTGACTAATGTGTTTTTAAATCCAACAGGACTTCAATATATGAATATGGATCACTACATGTTGATGGAGCTACAAGTGAAGTGTGAGATATATATATTTATATATATATAAATAAAAATATATCAAGATATATACATAAAATATATACATTTATACATATATTCAAGCATTCATATATACATATTAAACAGAGAGATGAAGATTTGGGAAGTTCGTAGTCAGAAACATACATGGCATACAGCATCTTTGACACTGTTTCTAACTAGTCTCTCTGTAGCCTATGTAGGTACCTTTCTTTTGGTTTGTATTGGATAAGAGAGAAAAATGTTACAAGATCAATGTTTCCTCTTCCTTGTGTTATTTATACCCTGGGCAATCACTAGCCAAACTCTCAGAATATCTTCAGAATCCTCTGTATGAGACCTTATTGGATTGGGTGGAAAGAGGAGAGACATATTTAGAGCAAGAGGGAGGAAGCAGTGGACAAGGAACAGATAAATCAGATAAATTCAGCAGAAAGGGGAGGAGGTAATGGAACCTGGATGTTTCCTGTATCCTCCAGTTCTCTGCTACCTAGTAAGGCAGGTACCCTGAAGCTAAAAATAACAGCATATTGGAGGGAACCCTGACTCATGCTACCAGCTATTAGACCCTGTCTAAAGGGAAGCAAGATCACCTTGATGAATTAAAGGAGTGAAGGAGGGTCTTAGGAAGCAGGGCTTTAGGTGCAATAAGCATCCTAGAGTTGAATTTCAAATAAATCCCATCAGAAAAGGTTTTTACACATCGCGTCACATTCAGTGATAAGAAACTGCACTTTAATACTGAACCATTACATTTTTTGACAGGACTAAAGTACTTACCACAATGATAGAAATAATCATTTTTAAGGAACATGGCATATTCTATTCAAAACAACTGATTTGTATATGAAGTATTTAAGGGTCAACCAGTTTGTAAGCTGAAGAGTTATTGAAACCGTTTTGAAGTAAAGCAGCAAGTTTAGCAAGTTGCATGGGGTCTTACTATGTACCTTTTTAATCCTCTAGTACTGCCCAGTCAGACTTGAAAACATCCCCAAGTGAACGCATCAGTGTAAGGTAATAAGACATAAATGATTTGTGGTGTGTGGGGTGGGGGGTGGAATTTGGGATAGTCACTGTCAGGAGCGCACCCATGAGAATACTTAGTTCCTTCCATGCCATTCCTAATGGTCCTTTCATGGGAAGCTTCGGTATGTAATACTCTTTGTTTTGAATCATCATAGAAAGAAGAAGCATAGTTTGAAAAAGGATTCTTCTTACTCTTACTGTTTACTTCACTTACTTCTCTTGTTACTTACTGCTTACTTCACCCTGAGTTTGTAGCAGCCAAACCTTTAGGAAAGTATCAGAATGTCTGTATGACACTATTAGAGCAGGCCAACGCTGCAGAGAAAGCCATCGGGATGGACCAAGGAAGTGGCAATGACAGCAGCTGAGGTGCCCTCAGCAGAAAAGAATAAAGCTAATGCATCCTGGATGTATCCTTCACTCTCCAGAGCTGTGCCACCATGTGAGGCTGGTGCCTACCCACAAAAAATGGAGCTGCCACCTCAGGTCTGCTTGACCTTACCTGAGAGGCTATAGAGACAATGTGATTCATGGAGATTGAGATGGTGAATGTACTTGAGAGTCATGAAATTGGATGGGGCAAGAGAAATAGGTATCTGCAAACTCAGGGTGAATTTTGCTTTTTGACATATCTATGGTTTACTTTTTAAATTGATTTTTTTAAAAGTCAACCAGTTTCTAAGTTAATGAGTAATTGTAACTAATTGAACCAAGATAAAATCTAGGAAATTATGTTGTATCTGATATACATATTTTTAATCCTTCAGCACTCCATTAAGTCAGTCAACAGTAATATCTGTTGATGAAGACGTCGATGAAACGTGAGCTCTATATAAACAAATATATATTTGATTATGTAAACCAATACACATATAAATAGACACACACTCATACACATGTATACCCAGAGAGATGGAGATTTGATAATTTCATTGTCAGCAGCATCAGTGACAATACAGCATGTCTTTGACATATTTTTCTAAAGTCTCCTTTTATCTGTAGGTAGCTTTTATGTTTATTATTTTTCAGCTTGAAAATTTAATAATTTTTAGTATTTTGCCACATTTACTTCATATGTGGAGATTATATACATATATATTATTTGTTCTTCTAAATTGTTTTATTTAAAGAGTTACAGAGAGAGAGAGAGAGAGAGAGAGAGAGAGACAGAGAGAGAAGACTTCCATTCACTGGTTTACTCCCCAAATGGTCACATCTGCCAGTGCCGAGCTGATCTTAAGCTAGGAGCCTGGAGCACAAGTACTTGGGCCATATTCAGATGCTTTCCCAGGCACATTGGCAGTGAACTTGATTGGAAGTCAAGTAGCCAGGACTTGAACTGGTCCCCATATGGGATGCTGGAGCTGCAGGCCGGGGCTTTAACCTGCTGTGCCACAGCCCAGCCTCTACTATTTTTTCTTGAAAACAGATTAATATGAGAAAGTGAGGACTCATGATCATAATCATAATGTGAAAAAAGGACATATTGTCATGTATATGGTATGAATCAGTGAAACAATTATTTATAATTGTAATTGTAATGTAATTGTAATTGTAATGGCCAAATGATATGCCAGCCATGCAATTTTTATACTCTCCCATAATATTAACTTCTGCAAGTAAAACATGTGATATTTGTTTTTCATTGTCTGCTTTACTTTTTTTTAAAGATTCATTTTATTTATTTGAAAGACAGAGTTACAGAGAGAGGTAGAGACAGAGAGGTTGGTCTTCCATCCACTGGTTCACTCCCCAGATGGCCACAAAGGCCAGAGCTGTGCTGATCTGAAGCCAGAAGCCAGGAGCTTCTTCCGGGTCTCCCACATAGGTGCATGGGCCCAAGGTCTTGGGCCATCTTGTACTGCTTTCCCAGGCCATAACAGAGCTGGATTGGAAGAGGAGCAGCCGGGACTAGAACCAGCGCCCACATGGGATGCCACAGCTTCAGGCTAGGGCTTTAACCCTCTGCGCCACAATGCCGGCCCCATGGTCTGCTTTATTTTACATAGTCTAATGATCTCCAGTTCGATGCATTTTGTTGAAAAGGTCAGGATAGCATTCTTTGTTGTGGCTGTGAAATATTCCATTGGGCGTACATGCCACATTTTGTTTTTCTAAACATTTTATTAAAATAGTTATACCACATTTTCACTACCTGTCACCATTTGATGGTCATCTAGGTTGCTTCCATGTTTTTATTATTGTCAATTATTGAGCCGCTATATATATGATGTGCAGCTACATCTTTCATATACTGATTTAATTTGCCTTGCATATATTCCCAGGAGTGTGATGTCAGGATCACATAGATCTATTTTTAGTTTCCTGAGGAATATTCTTCATGTTTTCCATATGATTGATCCAATTTGCATTGCCTCCAACACTGTTTGAAGCTGCATTTAAATTTTGATAAGAACAAAATAGTCTTAATTGTATATTTACTCTGGATAGTTTTGAAAAGATGCAGAAAAAGAATAGAGAGGCTAGTGTCATTCCTAGCTACTCCTTTGTGCCTCCATGTTTCTGTCAAGCATGGTTCTCTATGGCCCCACTCTTAAGCAATTTCAGGGTTGTAACAATTCTTTGCTTCCTGGAGATCCAGTGTACTGCAGGAGTCAGAAAGGGCTTGTAGTAAGAGGATGCCTACCTCAAGGTAAATTTTACTTTTTTAATCAATCAGTTGCCCATCTACCTAAGTCTTAGCTCCTTAGTCTGGGTGGAAAGTGGGTGGGTGCAGGTGGATGAGGGAGATAATAAAAGTATTGAAGATTTCTTATATCTCAGGTTAACCTAACAACATTCATCTGTGTCCCAAGTTCTCTGCTCAGTATCTGTTCTCTCCATTCTCCAGTTTTGGGCATAGGCTATCAGAGCTGTGTTGGGATTCATTCCACGTGGGATGGAATTTGGGTCTTGCATTGGAGGTTTCAGCAGGGTAGGAAATTGGTCCCCATTAGTTACCTTGTCTGCAGCCATCTGGTAAAATGGAGCATCACTGGAGCCTACAGAAACCAGGTTTTCCCTCCTGTGATGAATGGAAGGCACTCAGTCTTTAGGATGTTTTTTCCTTGGAAATATGTGCCTAACTTCCTTACCTCCAAAGTACATTTGCAACACCAACTGTAGCTCTCATTAATGATTTTTTGTTCACGGGAATCTAGATGCAACAAATGAACATTATAGGATAAGAATACCATTTATTCCTGTTGCCCAACCCTGAAATCTCTTACTACTGTGGAACCTGAGGCTTAGTGCAAATCTGGTGACCTGCCCACAACACCCTAGCTCATTAATGGAAGAGTTGGTGTGAGAATACAGTTCTACCTTACCACTCTCTTGTCCATACCATGTGCATTAGTTTATGTCCTTAAGTTCAATATTACCATTTAGAGTCATGGCTTTACACCTAAGGGAAATGTTACTAAATATCCAAAGCTTAGTGTTTTATTCACACACGAAACCTCATGTTGCAGAAAGCTAAACAAATTTCATTTATTAGCCAAAAAAGCACTTTGTTTCACAACTTCTGAAATTTTTTCTTGTAAAATTATGATTTAAGGGCCATTCTGAATTAAAACCTTAATGTATTTTAAAGGAAACCTGTGATTGATTGTATATTTCCTCCTTTTTGCAGCAGCAAGATGAAGAACACTACTCGTTTAATTGTATCAGCCTTTGCATTCAGGTGATACTTTTAAAAAGAATGTATTTAAATATGATTATTTAATATCATTATTAAAATGGGAAATTATATGAAAACAAAATAGAAATATTTCAAACATACACACACACATATATATGTGTGTATATACATATATACATACATATATATATATATATACACACACATAGTATATATATATACTCTGTGCTTCCCTTTCATGTAATCTCATTTGTTTTGGAATTCTGGCTTAAGCTGGACATCAGGACTTGCAAAGAAATAGCATCTGCTAAGTCTAACAGTAATATATTAATGTTTTTTCTACCTGTATAAGTGAAAATAACGAAGCACACATTATAAATATTGTAAGGCATTTTAGTAAATACAATACAGAATGAGAATTAATTCTTAATTTTGGAAACATTTTACTTAGTTTCTTTTCTGTACATAAGAGGAACTTAGTACATATACTTAGTTCCTCTAATATACAAAAATGTACATAAACTCTGAACAAAAAGTATATAAAAGAAGATTTCATATAAATTTATGGAATATAAATAATTCTTTCCTTTTAAATTAATATTTTCATTTGAGTTGGAATTATTAAGTACTCTGATGATTAGTTAATCTTCACAGGCTATATAATATAATCAGTTTATAGGGAATGTGTTTAGAAGTTTAAGAGAAAGGTTTAGGAGGCACTTTAGAGTACAGCATTCAAAATACTGATAGAATTGAATTCTGTCTTATGTGAGAATTACTGGGCCAGAAGCACCCATGAATTTGTAATCATGTACTTGTTGAAAAACTCACTGATAAAAAAAATCTTACTAGTCAAAGTGGTCTTTTAAGGCCTTGATGTTGAGTATGCCCTCACTTGGTTTTTATTAAGTATTCTTCAGATTAATGAGGTTTCAACTTTATGAGAAATTTATAGAAATTCCTTAGAAATTCTTAAATTAGAAGAATAATTTACTAAAAGAGACATACAATTCTAATTTTGTTTTCCTGCTGTGTCTTGAGGAGTCAGTATGATATGCATACTATAAGAAGACAAGATAACATGCTGTAAAATGGGCTGCTGAGAATTTTATTCACCAGCTAATGCTTTGATTGTGTGAAAACTGAGTAATTTTTTGAGATTCTGAGGCCACATAGTTCTTCCCTTTACTTGATGGTTTAAGCCTAAATACTCACATACTGATATCTGATTATTGAACTAAACATAGCCCAACTATAGGACAAAAATCTCTTTATCTGTATTATCATTATTTACATTTTGTTCTTTATAGAGTATTTGGAATCCTGCTCATCTTTGTGGACATATTTCTCATCATGTCAGATGTAATTTTCAATGATAACAAAATAGTTTTCGAATGCCATTCAATTTCTTTGGCTATTGCATTATTTTTTTTCTTTGATGTTCTACTCAGAGTGTATGTTGAGGGGTAAGTTTGATTCCTTTTTTTCTTAGCACACAAAGTAATTTTTTTACACATGATCTTAGCCAAAACTGCCTAGAAACAACAACAAAGTAAATTTTAAAAAGTATTTTTATTTATTTATTTGGAAGTCAGAGTTACACAGAGAGAGAAGATGCAGAGTGGGGGGGTCTTCCATCCAATGTTTAACTCCCCAGTTGGCCACAATGGCCGGAGATGTGCTGATCCAAACCCAGGTGCTGGGACCTTCCTCCAGGTCTCCCATGCAGATGCAGGGGCCCAAGGACTTGGGCCATCTTCTACTGCTTTCCTAGGCCATAGCCGAGAGCTGGATAGGAAGTGGAGCATCTGGGTCTCGAACCAATGCCCATATGGGTTGCCAGTGCTTCAGGCCAGGGCATTAACCCACTGCGCCACAGTGCCAGCCCCAACACATAAAGTAATTTATGTTATCATGAAACATATCCCAAAATAATTGGTTGGTCAGTCCAACCAAATGTGTACCTCTTTATCAAAATCTTTCTTCTGACACGCAAAGTCCATAGAGAAACAGCAATTCAAATCCCAGTTTTTCACCAATTGGATGTTAATAGTATATAGTCTCCAACGGAATATTGTAGAAGCTTCTTTGAATAGATAAAGAGGATGCAAAATAGAACCAGCAGCTGATGTGTCCACATGCACATTAACAAGGAGAACATGTGTTGAATATAGATAACAAAAATTCTCAACAAAATATGAACAAGTTGATTTCAGCAGCACATCAAAAGGATCATTCACCATGATCAAGTAGGATTTATCCCAGGGATGCAAGGATGATGGCAGCAACGTCAATCAATTAACATGATATACCACATCAAGGTAATGGATAAAATCCTGATCATCTTGATAGATACAGAAAGAGCATTCAGTAAAATTCAACATCAGTTCATAATAAAAACTCTGAACAAATGAGGTATATGAGGAATGTACCTCAATAATAAAGGCTATAGGTGAAAAACTGATAGCCAACATTGCACCGATTGGAGAAAAGCTGAAAGCAGTTCTTCTAAGATCTGGAATTACACAAGGCTGTCCTCTCTCAGTACTTTTATTCAGAACAATACTGAAAGTTTTGGCAAGATTCATTAGGCAAGAGAAAAAACTAAAAGGCATATAGGAAGGGGAAGTCAAATTATACATATTGGTAGATGATATAATTCATCTAAAGACCCCACCAAAAGAATGTCAAAAATAATAAACAAATTCAGTAAAGTTGGAGGACACTAAATCAACCTGGAAAAATCGGTAACATTTAAAAGGATTTCTTTATTTAAAAAGCATACTACCAGAAAGAGAGCAAAAGGCAGAGACAGAGAAAGATCTTCTACCTGCTGGTTCACTCCCCCAATGGCCATGTCTAGGCCAGGACTAGGCCAGGCTGAAGACAGAATCCAGGAACTTCATCTTTGTCTTCCACATGGGTGATAGGGGCCTAAGTATTTGAGCTATCATCTGCTGCCTTCCCAGGCACATTAGGAAGCTGCAACAGAAGCAGACTAGCTGGGATTCAAACCAGGCAGTCCAATATGGGATGTGGGTGTCCCAAGCGGTTCCTTAACTGCTGCACCACAATGCCTGATCCACTGGCAGTCTTGTTATATACCAATAATGAACTTGCTGAGAAGGAAATCATAAAAACAATCATGCATGATATCAATTTTTTAAAGAAAGCATCATGGAGTAAAATTAACCAAGGATGAGAAACACCTCTACAATGACAATTATAAAACACTGATAAAAGAAATTGAAGCACACACACACGTACAAAGAATGAGGTCCCATATTTGTGGGTTGCAAGAGTTAAGATCGTATAAGATGGTATAATCGCCATCAAAATACCCAATGCCATTGTTTACATAACTAGAAAAAATCCTAAAATTCACATAAAAGCACAAAAGACTCCAAATAACCAAAGTAATCTTGAACAAAAAGAACAAAACTTAAAGCATCACAAGCATAATATTAAATGATAGTAACCAAAATATCATGGTATTGGCATAAGGATACATAGAGCAATGAAACAGAACAGGGATCCCAAAATTAAATCCACACATCTATAACCAACTGATTCTCAACTAAGTCACCAAAAATATACCATGGAAAAATGACAATCTCCTCTATACATGATGCTGGGAAAGCTGAATATCCATAGACAAAAGATTAAAGTATCACCCTTCCCTACTTCTCACCCTATACAAATATCAACTCAATACAGATCAATCTAAATATAAGGCCAGATACTGTGAAACACCTAGAAGAAATCATAGGAAAAACACTTGAAGGCATCAATATAGGCAATGGGTTTTTGGATAAGACCACAAAAGTACAATCAACAAAAGCAAAAATAAATAAATGGAATTTTATTAATCAAAAAAGCTTCTGCATGGTCAAAGAAACAATCATCATAGTGAAGAGATGGGAGAAAGATTTGTAAACTATATATCTGACAGAGAATTAATATCTAGAATATGTAAGGAAGTAAATGAAGTCCACAGAAAAATTCAGATTCCCAAAAAAGATTTATTTGAAAGGCAAAGTTACACAGAAATAAGAACATGTATATGAAGTACAAATATTGGTACCTTTATTAAGAGTTGACTCATGGTGCTGGCACTGACTCAGTGAGCTAGGCTGCCACTTTGCAATGCCAGCCTCCCATGTCAGAGAAACAGTTTGAGTCCCAGCTGTTCCACTTCTGATCCAGCTCTCTGATAATACTTCTCTGAAAGCAGTGGAAGATGGCCCAAGTATTTGGTCCTGCCACCACATGAAAGACTTAGATGGAGTTCTCGGCTACTGCCTTTGGCCTGGCCCACTCTTAGCCATTGCTATCACTTGGGGAGTGAACCAGAAGATGAAACATTCTGTCTCTCTCTTTCTGTCTCTGTCTCTTTCTATGTGTCTTTGTCACTCTGCCATTCGAAAAAATATTTAAAAAATAACTGAATCATAAATGACATTTAACAGTATACTAAGTACTAGACAATAAATCATAAATCACCCTGTGTCTTATCTCAGGATGAAAATTTTGGAGCTGGCACTGTGGTACAGTGGGTTTAGCTGCCACCTGCAGTGCCGACATCCCATATGGCAACTGGTTAGAATCCTGGCTGCTCTACTTCCAGTCCAGTCCTCTGCTAATGCACCTGGGACAGCAGTGGAAGATGACCCAAGTCCCTAGGCCACTGCACCCATGTGGGAGACCTGGAGGAAGCTCCTGGCTCTGGCCTGGCAGAGCCCTAGCTGTTTGGGCAATTTAGGAGAGTGAATCAGCAGACAGGAGATCTCTCTCACTCGCTCTTTCCCCTTCTCTTTCTCTCTGTAACTCTCTGCCCTTCAAATAAATAATCTATAAAAAAAAAAAAGAATGCAAATTTTAGTGAGGTGAAGAGGAGACATGAAGCATGCTCATCCCATTAGAGGGCCTTGGTAGTGAAGCAGTGGTCACTTTTTCTCTGCCAGCTTTCTGAGAAGGTGTGTGGTATGAGCCAAGCCTTGGACATGACCAATAGGGGAGTCAAGAACTAAGTTCTCCAGCCTCCTTTCATCTAGAGGTCTCAGAAGGCAGTTTGTCTCCTCTGTTGACTCCCCATCCTCATGCCATTGAACTAAGCAGAGTTGCCCAAAATCAGGTTTCTCAGACCCTGAAAGGGGCCTCCTTGACTCAGAAAGAGCATTTCCTGGAGAACAAATGCCCATGTCTGAAGGAGCCACTTTGAGGAGGAAGCTGTGGTGAATGGAGTTCATCTTTGCCTAAAGGAGGCTACAGAAGCCTGCTGGTATTCCAGTGTGGGTTCAGAGCCAGAATGTGAGTTTGCAGGTCTAAATAGTGGATGCTTCTTCATCTCATAAGCTTCTCTGTTATAACTCCTCACGGCTCCAGGTGCTCTAATAGTGTGACATATTCAACTTCCATTTCCCAATAGTACTGCCCAATATCCCACATTTCTTCTGTCACCCACATGAAATCAATGCTTACCTCTTATTCTGTGGTTCTCCTCTATCTCTTACTACACTGAAACTGCCATAGTAAAGCTTTAGTTATACATATGAATCTATTAATGAATATAAATTTCCTATATGTAAAATTTCCATTCACATTTCATTTTTATCAAAGTTGAATCTAGAAATTTCATCTTAAATAATTATTGAAAGGAGAATGTTTAATGGCAATGAGTCAAATAATATGTACTTTTAAAATATTCCTATCTTGTGAGGGACAAACTTTTTTTATATTGCAGGAGGAAGACATATTTTACTGATCTATTTAACATCTTAGATGCTGTCATTATTGCAATAACTCTCTTGATCGATACCATTTACTTCTTTTTTGACCTAAGATTTCTGAAAGACGTACCAAGGTATGAAACATATGATATATCTCTCAGTTTTTTCTTTTCCTTTTTCTATTTTCTGTGGTAATTATTCCACATAGTCTTTTCAACTTGGAATATTCTGATTCTGTACCAAATAAGCTACTTAAAAAAGAAATCTTAGATAAATTTCCATGCACTTCAACCTTTCATTTTAGCATAGGCAAAATTCAAATAACTTTAATCATGAGTCTCAAAGAACAGCAAACAAAACAGAAAAATAGTAAGTGTTGTGGATAGCAATGCAGAGGTAGTTTTGCAGTATAGTTATTGTAGAAATTAGGAAAGCTGAGGCAAAGTTAAAACTGTTCAGGATTAGGCAATTAATTTTTTCTACTGGAGCAATGAGGAACAGAAGCAAATATGATTTGGGATGTACATATAGTGGGTGGGAGCTCACCAGGCTTATCCATTAGTCAAATAGCTGACTTTCTTCTGTATTCCAGCTTCCCTTGGCTTCAATTCAGACCCAATTAACTGTGTTATGTGTTAGGCTTTGGAGTTGTTTGAAAATAACATGAGCCACAGGTGGGGGTGGGCAGGACCACTATGTTCTTAAATCTGTATATATGAAATACATGAAAATTGTACAGCTCAAATAAAATTTAAAAAAAAGAAAATAGCATAAGCCAATGTGGTCTTCAATAAGAAACCTGAGCAGCTAGGAGAAAAATACCTTGGTCCCAATTCCATACCTACTAAATCTGTATCTCTGGGACCCAAACAAGCTATCTTTAAACAAGCTCTTTCAGGTGATGCATTTATGTGTGCCCAAGTTAGAAAAGTATTAGTCCGGAATATTAGTTCCCGGATAGCCCACTTGGGAAGGGTGTCAATTTGTTGTATGTTTGATGTTCATTCGCAGTGGTAGTGAACCTATGTTACTGATGGGAATAACTGTTGAATAATAAGCTTGTTTTGCTGGGGAAAACTTGAAAATTTCTTCAACTGTAAATGTTGAATAAACAAATTCTAAGAACTTATTATCACTTTTCTAGGATGAATTTCTCAACTTTATTATTATGGGCAGTTTAAGTTGGATAATTCTTTGTTAGGGGGAAGGGGGAAATTTTATTTATTGTATGGTATTTGGCAGCAATCTTGGCATTTATCTACTAGATGTGAGTAGCACCCCATACCAGCAGCTGTGACAATCCCAAATGTCTCCAGATCATGCCAGGATGGCCAGGGGCAGGTGGCATAAGTGCCCCTGGTTAAGAACCACTGCTTCAAACTTTGTCTATCCAGATAAAATCTTGTTTCTAAAACAAAAAATGTATCTTTTAAATGTTTGTTAGGGTGGCCGTTCTGCTTCGACCTCTACGCCTTATAATTTTGGTAAGAGTTTTCCATCTGGCTTACCAAAACAGACAACTCCAAAAGCTGACCAGAAGACTGGTGAGTGGGCAAAACTTGTGTTTTGGGACATAATGGCAAGGGATGTAGATACCTATATAATGTTCTTCACTTCTAAGTTGATTTGTGTTTGACAAGTTAATTATTGTTTTGAACTCTCAGGTTTCAGAAAACAAAAGGCGATACAGGAGAGATGGATTTGACCTAGATCTCACTTACATAACTGGTTTGTTAAGCTTAGCTATTGATTTACTTACATTGTCCTACTTTTCTTGTGTGCAAATTTTTATTTTGCTTTTGCTTTTTCTAAGCCATATTCTTCCATTTTTCCCCCCACAAAGACATATGCCAGTGAGATGGTATGACATATCTGTAGTTTAACTCTCACAATGGAAGCTCTCCACATCATACCAAATCAGGGATACTTGACTGCTCTAGAGAAAGTTGAATGATTTTCAGTTTCTTGAGAATTTATTGAGTTCGGATAGTTCTCTTGGGTCTTACAGATCCAGAGAGTCCTCTTCTCTTCTTAGAATACCAGAGATGGAGGCCACTGCATTGCAGGTCTTAAAAGTCTTCTGAGTCAGGAGTGTTGAAACCCTGGAAGTTCCCACAATCACCAGAACCCAGACCTCTCAGTTTTCCTTTGGTGCTTAACGAGGTGCTCCAGAATGAGCTCAACACAACTCTGGCATATTACTAGAATCAACTGAGTCTTAGGACACCATGACATTTAACTGGTCATTACACTGGGTAATTTAGTATATTCTCTTGGTTATCCTGTGTCTGGGATAGCTTTTTTCTGTCAACCTCAACCTTTAAAGTTTTTTTCAAAGTTTCCTTTATTGTATTTGAAAGGCAGAGTTACAGTGACAGGGAGAGGGGAACAGAGAGAAAGAAAAAGAGAGAGAGAAAGAGACAGAGAAATATTTGCCATTCACTGGTTCACTCCCCAAATGGCTGTACTGGTGAGGGCTGAGCCAGGCCCAAGACAGGAGCCAGGAGCCAGGAGCCAGGAGCTTCATCTGGGTCTCCCACATAGGTGGCAAAAACTCAAGTGCTTGAGCTATCTTCTGCTGCTTTCCCAGGCATGTTAGTAGGGAGCTGGATGAACAGTTGGGATTCAAACTGACACCCATCTGGGATGTCTGCCTCACAGGAAGCGGCTTAACCCAATATACCACTATGCCAACCCCTTGAAAGTTCTTTTCTGTAACAAAAGTCTAAACATACTTAAATTATTTTCACATATTGTTCCACATCTATAATCACATTCATAATAGTGATTATCGTGATTTTTTAGATCGCATTATCGCCATGTCATTTCCATCTTCTGGAAAGCAGTCTTTCTACAGGAATCCAATTAAGGTAAGAGTTTTTATCTAATAAATACTCAATTTTCAGTGAACACAGATGTGGAGTCATAGTTTACTGTTGACCCAGGTTTGTCAGTCTTCCTCTGAAATCTTACTCTCTAACGTAAAACATCATAATGGATTATATCAGATAGTTTTTGCTGTATTTTAAGTAATAGCCAGTATTTTTAAAATTATATATACACACAGACCTATATTAGTTTTTAAAAGAAATGAACCAAAATGTCTTCATATAGCTATGACTTTTCTAAAATTTGATAAAATCTATCATTTTATGCATATACAGAGTAATACTATATACTTTGCCTTTTATTTATTTATATAATGCTTAGACCATAATAATCAGTTCATTATCGAAATGATATCTATTCAGAATTAATTTAAATAAGAACTATATGTTAACTGGGAATTAAGAATTTGGACAATAAATAAAATAAAGCTAGCTAACCAGCCAGTTTCCTCCTCTAGTGGCAGTAAACAATGCTTACTTGGAGTAGAGAATAATTTGAGTAGCCAAGCACACTGGTTAACTGTATGAAAGCCATCCATGGGTTAGACATGACTTGGACTACATGTACCTTCATATTCTATGAATCTCTTCTAGAAGCATGAGTGAGAGCCAAAAAGTAACAGCCATCATGTTTATATAACTAACTCCTGGGTCATTCCTAGGTTATGCTGGATAGTAAGATATGTGTCTGTCTCTTTTAGGAAGTTGTGAGGTTCCTGGATACCAAACATCGAAACCATTACCGAGTCTACAATCTATGCAGTATGTACATGACTTGATATTTTGCTACTATAGATAGAAAACAATTATGAATGTAAGAAGACAATTTCATTTCTACTTGTCATTTAATCATAAGCATTTGGTGGCAGTGAGGAGAGTGAGTTCAAAAATACTGATCTTGCTCAGGTACATTTAATAGGAAGATTGAGCTCAGTGGGTGCCCTTCAACAGAGACAAGCCTGTTAGAACCCAAGAGGCAGAAGTGGAGGTTTGGTCTACTCCAGTGGTTTTAGGGTTAAGAAAATTTCTATTTTCCCTGGAACACTGCATTGAGGACACAGACCAAAAAAGGAATTCTCTATCCACTAGGAGTGAGTTGTGATGACAGCAGTGTACTAAGTGGGAGTGGGGAGGATTGTCATTTTTAGTCCTTGTTTATACTCCTGTGGAACTGTTGTCTTCTTTTTACTTGTTGCATACTATGGTTAGTGGTGAATTACCCCTGTGATTACAGAGTAGACTAAAATTTTAAAAAAAGAAACTAAACCTTTAAAGAATATTAACAAATGATATCCTTAAGTTACCACTCTTGTCTCTCCTGAGTTTTTCCTCTATTTGTTTATTAAATGGACATTTTGCAAGGGAAAGAATTTTGGCCAGTTACACTGCCTTTGCCCCATTGTTTTCAACTATCTTACAATAGTATAATGAATTATCTGCTAAAAAGTTAAAGTAAAGGCTATTCAAAAGTCAGTTGGATCAGTAACTTATCCATAGAATAAGTCACTAATTTTTTTATGTTTTTGAGGCCCTCAAGTTTTTTTAGAGCAGCTAGAGCCACTCAGAAAACTCCTTTTGTTTTTTTTTGTTTGTTTGTTTGTTTTATTTTTTTTTATTTTTTTGACAGGCAGAGTGGACAGTGAGAGAGAGAGACAGAGAGAAAGGTCTTCCTTTGCCGTTGGTTCACCCTCCAATGGCCACCGCGGCCGGCGCGCTGCGGCCGGCGCACCGCGCTGATCCGATGGCAGGAGCCAGGAGCCAGGTGCTTTTCTGGTCTCCCATGGGGTGCAGGGCCCAAGCACCTGGGCCATCCTCCACTGCACTCCCTGACCACAGCAGAGAGCTGGCCTGGAAGAGGGGCAACCGGGACAGAATCCGGCGCCCCAACCGGGACTAGAACCCGGTGTGCCGGCGCCGCTAGGCGGAGGATTAGCCTAGTGAGCCGCGGCGCCGGCCAGAAAACTCCTTTTGATAAGGAATTTCAATAGAAAACTTTAACATGTTCATAACTCATCATTTATTATGTTATTAGTTATGAAAATATGACATCTGTATGATTTATTTTAGGTGAAAGAGCTTATAATCCTGAACATTTTCATAACAGAGTCCAAAGAATCATGATTGATGATCATAATGTCCCTACTCTCAGGTAACTTTTATGCAACACTGGCTATGAGAAGAGGGCCAGATACACTGGGCTTTATTGTTTTGGAAATATTTTAATTCAACTAAAAGTCTAACTTTTAAAATCAGCGAGATGGTGGTATTCTCCAAAGAAGTAAATATGTGGCTGGCTCAAGACAAGAAGAACGTAGTAGTGATTCACTGCAAAGGCGGCAAAGGTAATAGCATTTTTTCTTTTTTTCTAAAGAAATTCAAATGTATATTAAAGTATAAAACAGATTCATCTTACTATCAAACAATATGAGTAAGGTTTAAAATTTAGAATTTTTTTAAAGATTTATTTATTTGAGAGGCAGAGTTACAGACAGGAGAGATGGGGAGGGCCTTCTACCCATTGGTTTACTCCCCATTTAGCTGCAATGGCCATAGCTGGGCAGATCCAAAGGCAGGAGGCAGGGCTGCTTCTGGGTTTCCCACATGGATGCAGGGGCCCCAGGCTCATTAGTAGGGAGTTGGATTAAAGTACAGTAGCTGGGACTCTAACCCGTAAGGTATGCCAACAGCAGCAGGCAGTGACTTTACCTGCTGTACCACAGCACCAGCCCCTTAATATTGGAATTTTAAAATTGAAATGGATGTATTTCTTTTTCTATACATATAGTCCATTGTTCTAACACCATCTACTGCATGTTATTTTATTCTCTATTAATTTCTAATCCCTCTCAGCCTTATCTCACCTTTCAGGAACTGACATATCCTCACTCACTTCATCTGCAGCTTCTATTAGTGAAGAGTTGTAATGTTCCTTTGGGGGACTCATATTGTCTTCCTTATTCTTATTTCAGGTTTTAGCTTTGTTTTCAGCATATGTGTGTATAAATATATATTACACACAAATATTTATAAACTTACAGAATTTCTCTTGTGAGATTTCTGTTATGTGCTGCTCTGTGTGCGTTTCAAGTGGAAGCACAGAGCACTATCTACTGGAGCCCTGTTCACCTGTAAATCATGGTGGAGTTGGGTGTGAGCTGTGGTGCACTTAGCCCCCACCTTCTGAGACCCAGATGAGTTCTCAATGATGGATTTCATGGGCTCGAGTTTCCTTGTTGCCTGACTTGCATGGTGGGGAAGAGTCTCCTCTGAGATAGTGTGGACATCGCTCCTGTGTGGGAGGTGTCGTGGGATGGCTCCCACAGTTGATGTTTGTGTGTCTGGTAGGCCAAGGTCTATGTTCGAGAATGTAAACATTAAAGATGGCTTCTGTGGGCCAGCTGCAGGTCTGGATGGGCAGGGGGAAAAGGGGTCGGACAGCATAGTTCCAATCTGTTTGCTTTTTTTATACCTTCTCTTTTTTTCCCCTCTTGGAACTTCAAAAGCAGTTCACCTATCTCCTCCTCCTGCTGCTACTCCCAGCTCCATGGACACCTAATTCCACCTAACCTGATCCACTGGGGACTGGCACCCTCCACCCCGACAACCTGTGCATGCTGCGTCTCCTCTGTTTCTCCTTCCTATTTTCCCTTTCAGCATGTACCTGCCCAGTCTGTGTTGGCCAACTGGGTTTCCCGGTGTAAATTTCCCGCAGTTCTATCTCCTGCATGTAACCTCTCTCCCTTTTAACTACCTATTTTGCCCCCATGTGACTTGGATATTCCTGTTTATTTTTTTTTTCTTTTTTTTGACAGGCAGAGTGGACAATGAGAGAGAGAGACAGAGAGAAAGGTCATCCTTTTGCCATTGGTTCACCCTCCAATGGCCGCCGCGGCCAGCGCACCATGCTGATCCAAAGGCAGGAGCCAGGTGCTTTTCCTGGTCTCCCATGGGGTGCAGGACACAAGCACTTGGGCCATCCTCCACTGCACTCCCAGTCCACAGCAGAGAGCTGGCCTGGAGGAGGGGCAACCGGAAACAGAATCCGGCGCCCCGACTGGGACTAGAACCCAGTGTGCCGGTGCTGCTAGGTGGAGGATTAGCCTGTTGAGCCACGGTGCCGGCCCAGATTTTCCTGTTTCTAAGCTGCCATCTTTTCCCTGACCCTTTGGTTCTTCTTACAACTTGATTCTTACATTCAATTTTAGAATAATTTTGTCCGTTTTCACAATATGTTTAGGATTTTCATTGGAAAGGAACTGAATTTATTAATTTGGGAGAACTGACAACTAGGTTATCTATTTATTTGAATCATTTGGCCCTTCAATAATATTTTATACTTTATATTCACAGTGGTTTTGTAGTCCATTTTCTGTTGTGGTAGCAAAAATACCGAAGGCTGGGTACTTTATAATAAAAGTGGTTTATTTAGACCACAAATTTGAAGGCTGAAAGTCCAGGATCAGGCAACCCCATGTGTTTGGGCCCTGGTAAAGCTGCTTGGTTGCATCACAGCATGTTAGATGGCATCATGGTGGGAGTGATGCATTCGGTTAGCACGTGGTACTTATATTACCTTCTTAATAGAAGCTGCTAGATTCTGTTGATAGTTTGGTTTACAGTTCTTGTATCCGGGCCATGGGTATGATTGGATATTCTTTTTTTAGTTTCCCTCATAATGTTAATTTCAACTGTTGGCTTCACAAAATGAGCTAGGCTGCATTTCCTTTCTTTTTTATTCTCCAAGTCTGTTTAACTTGGTTATTATTTTTTTTTCTTTACCTTAAATGTAAGCTAGGACTCCCTAGTGAACCCACATCAACCTACAGTTTTCTCTGTGGATGTTTTCAAGTTGTAAATCAGATTTTGTTAGATATAGGATTGTTTAAAACTATTTCTTGTATCTATTTTAGTTAGTTGTATATTCCCAAGCATTTGTCCATTTTATATACAATTTCAAATGTCTTGGCATCAAATTGTTCAACATATAATCTTACTATTCTAATATCTAGAGTGTGCTCCCCTTTTTATTCCCTATGTAGCTTTCTTGATGCCTTGTCTCTATTTTCTTTGATTAGTTTCACCAGGGATTTTTCAATTTTATCAATCTTTTCAAAGTACCAAATTATTAGATTATTGTTGGTAGCTCTTTTTTTAGTATTATTATATTAGAGGGGAGAGACAAAGAGAGCACTGGCACTCCCATCTGCTGGTTCATTCCCCAAATACTCAGAACATCAGCCCCAGTAGTAGCCAGGAGCCAGGAGCCAGGAGCCAGGAATACAGTGCTGGTCTCTCAATGTGGATGGCAGGAAATCAAATTACTTGAGCCATCACCACTGCCTCCAAAAGTCTGTATTAGGAGGAAGCTGGAGTCAGGAGCCAACCAAGCTGTTGATCAGTAGCCTCCTTTTCAGGAAACTTCATGCAAAAGGTGGAAAAACTCCTCTTTGGAAGTACCTGGCTTAGAATAGTGTTTGCAATGACAGACTGAGAAAGCAATTTAGCGGTTCATTAAACATTTTTAAAATGATAGAAAATTCTGTGCATCTCAGGTAAAAATAAGTTTGGAATTACATTAAGTAATTAGGTTCAGTGTGTACTAAGTAAAAAGCTACAGTAATTAAGCAAACATTTTATTTTTTTTTTTGAGACACAGGATGGTACTCACGTTTTATTGTAAAATAAGAAACCGATATAAAAAGGGGATATAAAAAGGGAAGAGGACTGGCGGTGACAAATGCAGATGTGCCTTGCAAGGTGCAAAGAAATTGACCCTGAGCATTGTGGGGAAAGTGAAAAAGGTCTTAGTAGATGCAGATGGTACATGAGATGGAATCCTCCAGGCGTAGGTTAGGGCAGGACTTCTTTCAGGTGCCATCGTCACTAAGAGGCTGGGCAGGATTTGGCTGCACCAGCGTAGACCAGGTGCCCAACCAGTGAAGCTGTCAACCCAGCAGCAGGAGGGCAGGGAACCAGCTCCCATGAGGGTGCCACATCCCAGCCACCCTATAATAAAGGGTGCTTTCCAGGACAGCCACACAGCATTTCATTAATCCTCACAGTAGACCCTGTGAGGTAGGCATGATCAGCATTTCATGAAGTTGTGGCCACATCCCTGCTCAGCACAGCAGGAGGGCTGGGCTTCCCACCCAGCCTAGGGCTGCTTCTCAGAGCATTTTTCCCCCCAAACATTCCTCACAGTCAAAATTCTAAAAGCTAAGGCTGGCCCATCCTAGCTCCCACTGCCCCTCCCTCCCTCCCCCCAATACCACCAGTGCAGGCCAAGGCAAGTGGAAGAATTCCTGGGAGTTCTGAGGCATACCTCTACCAAGTAGGGTTCAAGCACCTGAGTCCCAAATGTCAAGGTAGGAGGGCATGGGGGTCGTCAACGTGGTCAGAAGGTGAGACCTCAGTCTGAGTTGGGCCCCTCTCTCTTGAACATTAGTTTTTACTGCAGGAGGTAGACTGCCCCTTCTTGGCCTTTGGGCAGCTGGAGTGAGCCCTGCTCCCCAGGGCTCCTTCTTGGCCTTGGCATCCTTGAGCTCCAGGACCTCATTCAGCTCTTGGAACACCTTGAAGCATTCCCGCCCACGGATCTTAATGATGCAATATTCTCTATCAAGTGGCTTCTTTTTCTTGGGAGAGGAGTCGGTGGTGGTGGTTGGCAGTGCTTGCTTAGAGCTCCCGGGGGGCAGCTCAGGGCAGGACTCCCCTTTCTTGAGGAAATTTTCTTCCTCTGTGCCGTGGTCCCTCCCAGGACAGGCACACACTCGCACCTCAAAGCTGTTCCATCCTAGCAGGTTCCCCCTGGAATCTTCCAGTGTGATGAGGGTGAGGATGGGCCACCGGTTCATGCCCCCCATGCAGGAGCTGTTACACATGTAATTATAGTGGATGGTGGTACAGTCAGGGCCAACGTCGGGTGGCTCATAGGGCACCACCACACTGTGTCGGAAGGTGTTTCTGTCATCCAAATACTCAGCACACAGATTTCCCTCCACCCGGATGAGATGCTGAGAGAGGGGCCAGATCATCACTATCGGAACAGCACTCGTGGTGGGGGCAGTGTCTGACAACTTCCTTCATGTGTTGAGACTTCTTGAAGATGGCCATGGCCCGCACACGGGTGCCAGGCAGGGGTGTTGAGTCGACCCACAGCTGCACAGGGCAGGTGTTTGCTAGCTGCTAGAAGAGCTTGTTGAGGCAGGGGGAGTACGTGCAGGTGACAGACTTGGCCGTCCCAGAGTGCAGGAAGCCCAGCCGGAAACTGGAGTTGCCGTGGTAGGTCTTTTGGGAAGGGACAGAGGATGACAGGGGCCAGCAGGTGGCTGGTGCAGGGGTCGCCAGCCCAGGGGCAGCTGGGGTGGGGGCCTCTGGTGCAGGAGCTGCTGGTACTCAGAGCCCTTCATCTGGGTCTTCGTTGAGCCAGTTGGCAACATCTTTAGTGGACAGCAGATCATCCAAGGGAGGGTTCAGCAAGGTGGTCAGCAGGTTGTACTCAGAAAGCAGTTTCCATAGGTCTGAAAGTGTCTCCTGACTCAGGGGAGGCTCCAGGCTGAGAACTGACTACAACTCCTCCATGGCAGCACCCAGGAAGCTGGCCCGGTCGCCAGTCCTCAGGATGAGCGCATCACAGCCCCAGACGCCAGGTGCCCCCGCAGCGCAGTGGCTACCTGCACCCTGGACGGTGGCCCCCAGGAAACAACATCTTTTTAAAGTTAAATTTTGTATGGCAGATGAAAAATAGAAATTCAATAAAACTCGAGAAATTTTGAGGATAAATGACATGAAGCATAAGGTCAAGGATTTGCTTTAAAATGTAACAGTGGAAAAGAAAGGAGATGGCACAGAAGAAGAAAGGATAGAGGATAGAGGAGAGGGGAGGGGTAGGAGAGAAGCGAGGAAAGAGGAGAGGGAAAGTAACCAAGTTCAGCAAATATCAGTAATTACAAAATCAGGAAAAGTACACGAGGGTTCACTATCCTGTTCTGTATGCTTTCATATGTTTAAAAACTTTTGTACTACAATTAAATACTCTATGGAAGAAACAATGAGTATTGCAAATGCTAAAAGCCATTTTGAGTTGTGATCCTGGTTTTATTCTTTTTCTAAAAGAATGTTTAATTTATTTGAAAGGCAGTGGCACAGAAAGAGAGAGGGAGAGGCAGAGAGATCTTCTATCAAGTGGTTCACTCTCCAAATGGCCACAATGACCAGGACTGGGGATGACTGAAACTGGGAGCCTGGAACCCTTTCTGGGTCTCCCCCATGGGTGGCAGGGGCCCAAGTACTTTGGTCATCTGCTAAATCCCCAGACTCATTAGCAAGGAGCTGGATCTGAAATGGACTAGCTTAACCTGCTGTGCCACAACTCTGACCGCTATTTTTAACGTTTATAGATACTTTTATTTATGTTATATGGATCATAGAGTGTAGAATTAGTTCCTAATTAGCAAGTGAGGCTTTAGGCTTGGAGTCCTAGGCAGAACTGACTGCCTCCAGTGTGTTTCCCAGCATCTGTGATTCAAGACAAGTACACATGTGCACAAGTGTATCATGTCCATTTACAGAACCAAATTCCAGATACAACCATAAAACAGCGAAATATCTTGGCTATTACTAAACTATTTGTGACAAGCACATTCAGGGTGTAAAAAAGTCAATCAAAAACACACTCTGGATACTTCTGAGTGTATTTTCATACTAAGTTCTACCATGAACTAGCTTCTTAAACTAACTTTTCTTTTCTAGGAAGAACTGGGACAATGGTCTGTGCTTGCCTCATTGGTAATCAGATCTTTGGTACTGCAAAGGTATGAAACATGTTACTACAATCTGTCTTGTGCTTACTGAAATCGCCAGTTCTGAACTATCACTGCTAGGATGTTATGGTGACTCTCTGAGTCCCAATGGTTAAGTGAAACTGTAACTGGAGAGTGGGTCATTAAAAAGTATTGGTTGGCTCCTCCTTTGTTTCATATCCACTATGAAATTAGTAAATGACTACTTCTTACCTGGACAAGGACTAGGGTAAAATGTGTGAGGCATAAAATTTAAGGGAATATAAAAAATCTCAGTAGTTAGCATAAATAATGTTAAATCAATATTTTAAAAATAAAAACGAATGCAAAAAAATCATGATGTATACACTATTAATCTTTTAAATACAAGTGGGACCCAATAGGAGCAGGATTAAGTGAGGTCAGTAAAGCCAAGTTATACAAATGCAAAGCGTTGCAGGACTTCCTCATGAGAATAATATTCAGATTAATTAGATGCATTTTGCAGAGGACCTTGGCTATCCTTAAAATTGCTGTATATACATAAAAGGCCTTGCTTTCCCACTCAGAGTCTCTCATGGTTAATTACTATTTTTGCAAAGTCAATATACATAATAACTGTAATCTGGAAATTGCTGAGAAGAGAAGGTGAGTTGTTCCCATGTCTTAAAGCAGGGTTCATTTTGCTGCCATATTTTGGGAAGCTGCCACTTAAGTCCCTACTTCCAGCAGCTCTGGTCTGCTGGCCTGCAGTAGAGAGAAGAGGAGCTGAGGGTTATGCACAACAGTCAGCTCTCCAGGAGATGGGAGGAGTGCGAGTGGGAGGGAAATTATGGGGGAGAAAGCCAATGTAATCCATAAACCGTACTTTGGAAATTTATATTTACTAAATTTAAAAAAAAGGAAAAAAAAAAAACAGCTCTCTAGCCACTTCTGTCTTATAATCTAAGATACACAAGTTTGGAAAATAGGTGTTTCTTTAAGTCATACATCATTATGTTTCAGTGAGTTGTAAAAGCAACTTACTGAGTAGTGTTTCACTTCTAAAATGGAGATTAGAAAATATCAATGTTTGATGGGTGTGTGTGTATGCCCAAGTCTGTGTGTATATCATGGGTTTATTAATGTGGGTTACAATTTCATTTTCTTTTCATCTCAGTCTTCTCATTTGTATATTGGAAGGTAGAAAGAAGAGTTGGACCAAATAGTTTCTAAGGGCATTCTAGTTCTGAAAGTCCATGTATGCAGGAATCTTTGAATGAGACATATCTTTGATGTAGCCTTTTTAATACTGTTATTTTGAGTAGCCTCTCTTCACAGAATGCTCCCCCTTAAGGAAATAATGTGTCCTTAGAAACTTAAAACACATCTACTATGGGAAAGGGAAGATTGCAGATGAACCATTGTTATGTTGCTCCTTTTCTATAGGAAAGTCTTGCTTATTTTGCAAGTCGACGTACTGATCACACCATCAGTAGTAAATTCCAAGGAATTGAAACTCCCTCCCAAGTAAGTTTTCTTTTTAAAGGGGCACTTCTTTGGGGGGAGTGGGTTAAGATTAGCCCGACACATGGTTTCACTTTAGACTCTTCTCTGTTGGATATCAGGCAGTGGCCCTTGGGTGCCCTGCAGCAGGCTTTAACTCCTCCTCAGGACCAAAACCTATACCTCAGTCGCTGCCCATGCTTGAGGAGCAGTGGGTCCTCCCTAGAGCATTTGATATTTGTTGTTGTGTACAGAGTTCAGCAGTTGATTACTTTCCTGTAATAGGCAAGTCTAATACCTAAGATTCCAGGCCCCTAATGCTTATCAGTTGCCTTTGATTTCCCCATAGAAGAGGAACTGAGTCTTTCACAAACCCCTCCTGCGGCAATGTTGCCCTCTCAGAGAATCATGAGAACTATTTCTAGATGATTTCCTTGTGAGAGTGGTTGGGGAGGGAGAAGGAATGTCTATATTTTGATGGTTAAAGAAAAAAGAAAATAGAGGCCGGCACCATGGCTCGCTTGGTTAATCCTCCGCCTATAGTGCCGGCATCCCATATGGGCACTGGGTTCTAGTCCCAGTTGCTCCTCTTCCAATCCAGCTCTCTGCTATGGCCAAGGAGGGCAGTGGAGGATGGGCCAAGTGTTTGGGCTCCTGCACACCCATGGGAAACCAGGAAGAAGCACCTGGCTCCTGGCTTCAGATCAGCGCAGCGTCGGCCATAGCAGCCATTTGGGGAGTGAACCAATGGAAGGAAGACCTTTTTCTCTCACACTGTCTGTAACTCTGTCAATTTAAAAAAAAAAAGAAAAAGGAAAATAAACACTTTTCAAAACCTCTAATATACCCCAAATGCTTCTAAACTTAAAACTATTTCATTTAGGATTTATAATATTTATGTGGAGATTGCTGAATTTTTCCTTTTAAAAAGATTATGGAAATTTTCAAACATATGCAAAAAAGACAATTATACAACAAATCCATTTTTACTCAACATGCCACTTTATCTCATAACTAACCAATCATGGTTTATTCATTCTCTCCCCTCTCTATCCAAATTCCTCAACCCTATTCCACTCTGTTTCACCAAACCTGGGTTATTCTGAAGGAAATTACACCCATGAGATCATTTTATCCCACAAGTATTTTGGTATGACATCTAACATAAGGTCTCAAGAGAACCCAAAAATCTTAATACCATTTATCACATCAAATGCTGTATGCCTTATAAAATCTTAATAATTTCAAATTTTGAGTTTATTTTTAAATTTTCATAATTGTCTAAGATACTTAGAAAACTTTGTTTCAGTTACAATACAAACAAGGCCCATACATATCATTTGGATGCTACCTCTCTTAGGTCTCTTTCTGTTTCTGTTTCCCATCTCATTTTTATTCCTTGTGATTTGTTTATTGCAGAAATCAAAACATTTATCTGATAGAGTTTACAACAGTCTAGACTTTATTGATACATGCTAAGGGTTTTATATTCATTACCTAATTCAATAGGCACTGTTATGAATCCCATTTTACAGATTATGAAATTGAAGTTCAGAGAAATTAACCACTAGAACCAAGAACTCAAATCTAGATCTGTCAAATCTGAAGCCCAGTATAGTCCATGCTGTGAACAGCTTCTATTTATTGTCCCCCTAAAACCAAAGTGAGAGCTGATTGAGACTCTTAGGGAGATGTGAATGTAGCTATAAATGAGAGACTTTCTTTGAGTGAAGTGATGGCAACTGAATAACTACACTGGCTTTGAAAGCAGCACACAGTAACTTCTCACCCTAGATCTTTGGTTAGGACAAAAGAATTCAGCCTTTACTCACCAATACTTTTCTCCCATACCTAAGCTAAAGAAAACAAAAAACAAGATATACATACACCCTTGGATAAAAGTAATACATCAACCTACTGAAGTCCATCTTTTATCACGCCATTTCCATGCTCAAAATCCATGATGGCTCCCTGCTGCCAATGGCAACTATATGTTCTAACCTAGCTCTCAAGATCTTCTGCGGCCGGTGCTGCGGCTCACTAGGCTAATCCTCTGCCTTGCGGCGCCGGCACATCGGGTTCTAGTCCCAGTCAGGGTGCCGGATTCTGTCCCGGTTGCCCCTCTTCCAAGCCAGCCCTCTGCTATGGCCTGGGAGTGCAGTGGAGGATGGCCCAAGTCCTTGGGCCCTGCACCCCATGGGAGACCAGGAGAAGCACCTGGCTCCTGCCATTGGATCAGCGTGGTGTGCCGGCCGCAGCGCACCAGCCGCGGCGGCCATTGGAGGGTGAACCAACGGCAAAAGGAAGACCTTTCTCTCTGTCTCTCTCTCTCACTGTCCACTCTGCCTGTTAAAAAAAATCCTCTTCAATTTGATTTTTCAAATTTTTTCTTCATTAAGTGCTGTCACATATCCTGTGCTCTAAGACAATAAGACCCTTTGCTATTTCCCAGCTTGTCAGCACTGTGTATCTTCATGCTATGAATCTGGTGGCAGGAGCCAAGGGTATGTGAAATGCAGCTCCTTCACTGACTCTCCCCATACATCTCCCTTTCTCCATTTCTCCTTTAGTCCTGCACAGTTATCCTGACTTTAGTCCAGAACTAGCACACCATATGCTACACCTGAATGTCTTCTGATTCACTGGGATAGCAATAGAAGAACTCAGCTGCAGACTTCAGATTTGGCAAGGCCCTGGGGCAGAGGTTCCTTTATGTCAAGTGATGATTCTCCAGACACCATCACATTCTGACCCTCCCAGTGAGCCAGTCTCCTGGTCACATTACATCTATCCCTGAGTTAAGAACTTGCATGAGACTATCTCATGGCTGCCCTTTCTCATAGAAAGTACAACACTTAATTTTATTAAACTTCCCAATGGGGAAAGAAGAATCTGTGAACTTCTGAGTCCTGTTGGTTCAGTGCCAGAACTGTTCAACTTCCTTAAGAAAGACTCAAGGACAGACCTTGTGAATAAGTTTATCACAGAAAGAATGAAACCAAGAAAATTCCAGAACTTCTTTGCAACAACAGAACTGAGAAAATGATAATTAAAGAAACTCTAGCTGGCAGAGGCAAGGTAAAAATGACCAAGAATCTACCTGAGAGATGTTGGTCTCCTCCTGAGTTTGCAAATACCATTCTTCCATTATCATAGGCTATTCTTCACCCAATCACAAAGCTTCCCGTAACTCAGTCACATCCTTGCTTCTATCCACACATGGATAATGGTGTAGTCTAAAACACAATCATAATTATAAGCACCCTATAAGCCAGACCTGATTCCTTTCTGGTTTCCTCCCAAAGCACTTAGTTCAGTATTGTTTCCTAAGGTAGTTTTGAGGCCACATACATAAAAACACTCTGTCTTATAACAAAATCCAGCAAGTGATTTCTTAATTTCTTACTGCCCTTACCAAGCTCTATGCCCTGCCCTCACAATAGGAATTTCTGATTTTCAGCTTTTCTTCCTCATGTAACCTGAAGCTTTTGTTTCTTTGCAGAGTAGATATGTTGGATATTTTGAGAATGTGAAAAATCTCTGCAACTGGACTCTCCCGCCAAAAAAAATCCTCACGCCATACAAAATTATCATTTATTCAATTCATAGTAAGTGTTTTTGTATAACTGAAAAACTGGGCAGAAGCAACAATGTTCCCATTCTTTGGGAAGATTTGCTTGTGGATATATACAGATGAGCTTTACTAGTACTAGGGCATCTAAAGAAATCTTTGTGAGTTTTAAACCATTTCAGGGAAGTCACGGGCATTTCAGCCTAATGAAGTTTTAACACCTTTCTCTCATAGGAACAATGAGAATAAAATAGTTTCTCAAAATTCAAAGCCTAAAAATCATTTAAAAATTTGGGAATTTTTGTGTCAGTCGGATATTATATCCTAAGATTATGTCTTCTTTCTTAATATCACTTTGGGTTTTATTTAAACCTTGTAGAAGGGGCCAGTGCTACGACACAGTGGGTTAAAAGCCCTGGCCTGAAGTGCCAGCATCCCATATGGACACTGTTTCTAGTCCTAGATGCTCCTCCTGATCCAGCTTTCTGCTATGGCCTAGGAAAGCAGTAGAAGATGGCCCAAGTTCTTGGACCCTTGCACCCACGTGAGAGACCTGCAAGAAGCTCCTGGCTTCCTATTGGCACAGCTCTGGCCGTTGCGGCCATCCTGGGAGTGAACCAGCGGGTGTCTCTCTGTCTCTACCTCTCTAACTGTCTTTCAAATAAATAAAATAAATCTTTAAAAAAAAAAAAAACACCCTGTAGAGACAATGCTTACAACTGTAAGGTGCAGATCTGGAAAAAATAGGGAGTTGCTCAAATTCACAACTTCAAGTTATTGTAGGTGAAGTTGTGTGGAATTTTATGGCATGATTTGCTTATCTCAGACTAACATGAAATAGAGGATTGGAAAACCTCAATCTCAGGGGCCAGCATTGCGGCATAGAAGGCTAAACCACTGCCTACAGTTTTATCATTCCACTTAAGTGCTGTTCCAAATCCAGATCCCTGTGGGTGCACCTGAGAGCAGCAGAGGATGGCCTGACTGCTTGGGCCCCTGGTACCTACAAGGGAGACTCAGATGGAGTTCCAGGCTCCTGGCTTCAGTGTGGCCCACCCATGGATGTTGTGACCATTTGTGGGAGTGAAGCAGTAGATGGAAGATCTTTGTCTCTCTCTAACTCTGCCTTTCAAACAAACAAATAAAAGACAATCTGAGATCCAAGATCCTGGGTGTTCAGCTTTCCACATGTCTTAGCTTGTAAACCAACTCAGGAAGGACTGTTGGACAAGTTAAAATTCGTCCTGCACCCGTGTAAATAAGCGGGCCAAACTTACTGGGATCAGTATGATTTTTGAATAAAAATAATCTTTCAAATGGTTGTGACAACAAGAGAAAGGAGCTAGGGAGACTGAGAAGAAAAAGTGTGAGAGGCTCTTAGATGGGTAATGTCTGTGACTGCACACTTTCCAGCTTTCATTGTCTTTGAGCTCTTTACTCTGCAAGTTGTAGAAAAGTGATAATGCAAACAACTTTTCTACATAGAAATGCAAACTGGATATGTTCAGTGGAATGCAATTGGCTACTAGCCCATTTGCATCTAGTCGTAGGTTCATTGCATCATTTACTATATGCTTGTGTGTGGTACTTTGAACCAGCTAGAATATTTTATTGTTTCCTCATTAGTGTGCCTATCTTTTTAATTTTATACAGATGTTGGAAAAGGCGATGGAAGTGACCTAAAAATTCAAATAACTACAAAACAACAGACAGTCTTTTCATGTTCATCTTCTAAAAACTGCAAGGTAAGAGAAAGCATATGAATTGAAAATTCTGAAGTTTTTTAAAGCTCAAAGTTATATCAGCATGTTGGCCTCCTGAACCATCACTCACCACAAAGAAGATGTTATGTTGCTTTGTAGTTACCATCCAACATGGAAACCGTAAGTATGGATGCAAACCAGAGCTAACTTAACCAAATTGTTTGAAAAAAAAAAGGGGGGAGGGTTTCCCAGGGTATTTTCTAAAATATATATCATTGTAAATTGTGGCTTTGCCTTTTAGGTTCCCACAAATGCTGAGCATGTTACCAGGAATCTATCAAGATTTTAATTTCAGATTGTAGTTATTTTAGCCATATTTTTTTCCTCTTGGTCATTTTACCTTTTACTGTCCAACACTAAAATTTCAAATTGTAGCATACAAGAAAATCTCCTAGGGGCATGTAAAGATGCAAATTCATTATCTGTGCCTCCAAGGTATGATTCAGGAAATCTGGAATGGGTCTCAGCTATCTGTAGATATAGCAATGCTCCAGATGACTGTAACCAACAGTCCTGTGAGTTAGCGTTATGAGAAACTATGTAAGCATATGGATGAAAGAGGAGTCTCTTTACCCAAAGCAATGGGACCCTAGTAGACAATGATCTGCTAAAATGTTGAAGTGATGCCTAACTATATAAAGACTTTTGTGGAACAATAATAAAGCTTCTTTCATGAGTCTAGGAACTGTAAACATTCAGAAGACCCTCCCATGCTTCTATTCCTGACACTAATCCTCCTTGTCCTGTCCCCCTGTGTTGGTTTTGTTTGTTTTGTTTGTTTTGTTTTGTTTTGTTTGCCTCTCCTAGCTGAGGGCATTCACCTGGGCCTGATCCTTGACATTTGTGTTTTCATTTCTGTAACTACCCCATTCTTGGTTACTCTCAGCCATTCCCCTTCTTTACATTATTATTTGTTCTTTAAGCCGTGGAACATATATTAATGAGCACTCACTGTTGCTACATGTAGAAATTACAATATGGACAGTCTTTACCCCAACAATCCAAAGTTAGTCAAATCCAAACTTGCCAAATGGAGCTTTTCCTCTGCTACTGCAGATGGCACCATCATTCTTTCACTCAGGTCTTCACACGTGGTATTATCTTTGATTCTCACTTTGCCTTCTCCACATAAATCCAATGAGTCACCAATTCCTCTGATTATTCCTTTGAAATTTTTCTTCATTCTCCTTTCCTTTATGTTTCCACTGCCACTGTTTAGTCCATTTGCTCGTTGCTCTGACAAAGTTTCTAAACAATGGTCTCCTTACCTTGTCTTTCTTCTTACACATTGTAGTGGGTAGAATCCTACAACATGCATCTTGAAGTATTGCTCTCATTGTGAAGAGCTGTATGTACGTCAGAAGACACACAGTTTATGCACAGTTAAAGCCAGTTAGCATCTTTGGGTCAGCATTCTTATCTGAAAAATAAAGATGACATCTCAAGTGTTGTGAGAATTAAGTTAGGTAATAAAATAAAAATTTGTCAACTATAAATTACCAAGTAGATGTTAATTCATGACAGTAGTCAGGATACTTTGACACATAAAATACCCCTCTCCCCAATACTCTCTAGCAACTTCACTCTTATTTCCATGGATCTTGAACTCTCAAGATACAATAACCATATCCAACCTGAGCTTATTTCCATCAGCAACTTAAGCTGCAGAGATTTTTCCTTGTAAACCGGGTCATCCTCGCAGGTTCTTGGAATATAATTCTAATTTCTACTTCATGTTTCTGCTTGTCTTTTCCCTCTCCTCTGTCCCAATGTATGCACTAGATTCTATTTTCAGTGCTCTCTTTATTTATTCAAACCCTTCCATACTCAACTCAGTAGCTATCTCCTTGAAGAGTCTCTACTCTATGTTGCCTAATAATACCACCCCCTGCAGTTCATAACAGCACACTCAGTCTTCACCATGTAGCCTGACATTAGTTATACTATTATTCTTTACATGCCCAGCTCCCTGAAGGGACCGACTGAGTCTATATCTTATTATGCTTTTCACAGGGCCCAGCGTAAGTCTTTCTCATTTTCTATACCATTATTGTATAAAAATAAATCTGTAACAAAGAAATATTTAGTATAATTCCAAATCTGTTCCTCCTGGAAAGTTTATCGTTAATCACTTCATTTAAAGGCCTGCAATGGAGCTTACCAATGATCCCATCAAAAACACATGATTTTGGATTAAGCATTCTGTATTGCTTCTTGAATGGCAGTGTCAACTTTAAAACTAAAGATTTGAGTGTATTATCAAAAGTGGTCCAACTTATGAAAACCATAACACATTAAACAGTAATGTTTACGTGACTAAACTTAATTGAAAATAAATCAAAGACTTTGCTTTTCAAATGTGTCCCAATATCATGCTCAATCGGACTTGCCCCAAATGGTGGAGTTAGAACTGTGCCAGGGGATCCCAATACAATCCCATCAAGGTGGCATGTACCAATGCCATCTCACTAGTCCAGGTGATCAATTTCAGTTCACAATTGATCACACTGATAGGTCTAAGAGTCAAAGGGATCACATAAACAAGACTAGCGTCTGCTAATACTAACTGATAGAATCAAAAAGGGAGAGAACAATCCATCATGGGAAGCGGGATACACAGCAGACTCATAGAATGGCAGATGTCCTAAATAGCACTCTGGCCTCAGAATCAGCCCTTAAGGCGTTCGGATATGGCTGAAGAGCCCATGAGAGTATTTTAGGCATGGAAAGCCAAGACACCCTGGGGAAAAAAAAAAAAAAAGAAGAAGACTTAAATGACAGATCTCTGCAAGTGAGATCCCAGTAGAAAGAACTGGGCTCCATCAAAGAAGGAGGTACCTTTCTCTGAAGGGAGGAGAGAACTTCCACTTTGACTATGACCCTGTGGGAATAAGATCGAAGTCAGCGAACTCAAAAGGCTTCCATAGCCTAGGCAACTCATGACAAGAGCCTAGGGAGATTACTGACACCATAAACAAGAGTGTCAAATTGTTAAGTCAACAACAGGAGTCACTGTGTACTTACTTCTCATGTGGGATCTGTCCTTAGTGTGTTGTCCAATGTGAAGTAATGCTATAACTAGTACTCAAACAGTATTTTGCACTTTGTGTTTCTGTGTGGGTGCAAACTGATGAAATCTTTTTAATATATACTAAATTGATCTTCTGTATATAAAGATAATTGAAAATGAATCTTGATGTGAATGGAATGGGAGAGGGAGTGGGAGATGGGAGGGGTGTGAGTGGGAGGGAAATTATGGGGAGGGGAAGCCATTGTAATCCATTAACTGTACTTTGGAAATTTTATATTTACTAAATAAAAAATAAATAAATAAATAAATAAATAAGTGTCCCAATATAATTTTGAAACAATGTTACAGAAATTTATAGACTTGCAACTTTACAGAAAAGAGAGTTTATATTTACTTTTTTTAAAGATTTATTTATTTATTTGAAAGTCAGAGTTACACACAGAGAGGAGAGGCAGGGAGAGAAAGAGTCTTCCATCCGCTGATTCACTCTCCAGATGGCTGCAACAGCCAGAGCTGCGCCAATCTGAAGCCAGGAGCCAAGAGCTTCCTCTGGGTCTCCTACGAAGGTGCAGGAGTCCAAGAACTGGGCCCATCCTCCACTGCTTTCCCAGGCCTTCACAGAGAATTGGGTCAGAAGTGGAAAACCGGGACTCAAACCAGCATCCATACGGGATGCCGGCACTGTGGCCTGCAGCTTTACCCACTACACCACAGCGCCAGCCCCGACAGGTTCTATTTATTAATATATATAGTGAGTTTGCTATGAGGCTAAGAGTACTTGATAAATACAGAAAGGCTGAATGAGTGAAAACCACTTCAGTTTTACAGATCCCATCAGCAGCTAGATTTTAGCTCTGAATTTCATGTGTTCATTCACAGATATTTCACGATGTCGAAACTGACAAAGTCATTATTGAATTGTTGAACTGTCCAATCCTATATGACGACGTTAAAGTCAGATTTCTCTCTCGGGTAAGTAATCAAGAAATTACTTCTGCTGTTGTACTTGTTTGCTCTTTTGATTGATTTTGATTTAGGACTTCTATTGCTACAAATCCCAAGAGCAGAGATGAGAGACTTCAATCCGTAACCAGGAATAAGAAAGCATCATATCACTAACATATTTTCAAAAAAGAAAAACACATGTAATCCTAAGATATTTTGCTCTTTTTTAAAAAAAGTTCTATATAATTCACATGTATGAAGCTCCTTTGTGTTTTTCTAAATTCTACTTGATATATATATATATAAAACTAATCAAAAAACTCACAAAAACCAAGGAGCTAAAAAAAACGTGTTTTTACTACATAGCAGTGACAACTTCTTTGTTTTATACCTTTAAAATACATTGCTATAAACTGAATGGGACTTTGCTTTTCTCGAAGTTGATGCTTATTACAAATAGTATTCATTAACCCTATATTTAACTTAAAATTAACCTTATTTTAACACTATATTTAACCCTATATTTAACTTCAAATAAATAAGAATGCCTTTCATTTTCTTTACTTGAACATATCTGCATAACTTCTACTGACCAGCCATAAATTGTTGTGTTTGCATATTATTCTGCATATAACAAATTTATAATCCTCAATAGTTTCTTTTTTATGTTTTTAAAAAACTTCTATTTAATAAATATAAATTTCCAAAGTACAGCTTTTGGATTACAGTGGCTTTTCCCCCTATAACCTCCCTCCACCCACAACCATCCCATCTCCCACTCCCTCTCCCATCCCATTCACGCAAGATTCATTTTCAATTATCTTTATAGACAGAAGATCAATTTAGTATATATTAAGTAAAGATTTCAACAGTTTGCACCCACACAGAAACACAAAGTGTAAAATACCTGTTTGAGTACTAGTTATAGCATTCACATTGAACAACACATTAAGAACAGAGATCCTACATGGGGAGGTAAGTGCACAGTGATTTCTGTTGTTGATTTAAACAACTGACATTCTTGTTTATGGCGTCAGTAATCACCCGAGTCTCTTGTCATGAGCTGCCAAGGCTATGGAAGCCTCTTGAGTTCGTCGACTCCATCTTATTTAGACAAGGTCATAGTCAAACTAGAAGTTTTCTCCTCCCTTCAGAGATATAGGTACCTCCTTCTCTGATGGCCTGTTCTTTCCGCTGGGATCTCACTCACAGAGATCTTTCATTTAGGTTGGTTTGTTTGTTTCTTTTTGCCACAGTGTCTTGGCTTTCCATGCCTGAAATACTCTCATGGGCTTTTTTAGCCAGATGCAAATGTCCTTCAGGGCTGATTCTGAGGCCAAAGTGCTGTTTAGGACGTCTGCCATTCTGTGAATCTGCTGTGTATCCTGCTTCCCATGTTGGATCATTCTCTCCTTTTAATTCTATCAGTTAGTATTGCAGACACTAGTCTTGTTTATGTGATCCCTTTGACTCTTAATCCTATCATTATGATCAATTATGAACTGAAATTGATCATTTGACTAGTGAGATGACATTGGTACATGCCACCTGATGGGACTGAATTGGAATCCCAACATGTTTCTAACTCTACCATTTGGAGCAAGTCCGATTGAGCATGTGCCAAACTGTACATCTCCTCCCTCTATTATTCCACTCTTATATTTAACAGGGATCACTTTTCAGTTACATTAAACACCTAAGAATAATTGAGTGTTAATTACAGAGTTCAACCAAAGGTATTAAGTAGAAGAAAAAAATAGTAAAAGGGATAAAGTATTAAGTTGTTTCATAACAGTCAGGTCAAGGGCTGATCAAGTCATTGTTTCTCATAGTGTCCATTTCACTTCAACGGGTTTCCTTTTTGGTGCTCAGTTAGTTGTCACCGATCAGGGAGAACAGATGATATTTGTCCCTTTGGGACGGGCTGATTTCACTCAGCATGATGTTTTCAGGATTCCTCCATTTTGTTGCAAATGACCGGATTTCTTTCTTTTTTTTTTTTTACTGCTGTATAGGATTCCATAGAGTACATATCCCATATTTCTTTATCCAGTCTACTGTTGATGGGCATTTAGGTTGATTCCAAGTCTTAGCTATTGTGAATTGAGCTGCAATAAACATTAAGGTGCAGACAGCTCTTTTAATTGCCAATTAACTTCCTTGGGGTAAATTCCAAGGAGTAATCCTCAATAATTTCAATTCTATTCCTATGAAGTCATCAACCAGAACTGCCAACAAGTATGCTGGGCAACTTAAAAGTTATTTCTTGTACCTTCCTTCATCCCCTGCTTGCTGCCTGTTGGAAAAGAATCTTGTAAGTATTCAGATGGTCACTGAGTTGAAACAAGTCTGGGTAGTTACCACACTGGCTGGTGGCCTCCTACCTAATGGAGCTGCTCTAAATTCTCAAACAGTGGTTTCTAAGTAGAAGCAATGGTGTAAAGGTCATTGGCCTAGGGTACTTGGGTAACATCCAGCCTCTGATTATGAAAGCACTCAAAATGTCAGATATTTCTATCATCATCAACACTGGTATCATCTTCAATAAGTAGGGCTAACTATTCAGTGCAGCTGTTCCTTATAGAAATGGTTGATATTTGTTGAATATGCCAGTAGTTTTGGTCTTGAGGGCTCTCTGAGGGTGGCTGTAACTGTAGCCTGCCCTGACAGGACTGCAGGTGAGGTGGTCATGGAGGTTTACACTGTGCTTTTCACAGGATGCTTCATTATCCTGGCAGATGCCTGATGCCTAAGTGCCTGACTGTGAGCAGCAGCTGTGGCTCTCCCAGGAAACCTGTTTTCTTCCCAGAATCTTTTATTTAAGGATACAAACTTCATGCATTTCATAAATCCAACTTCAGGAACACAGTGATTTATGCCACCATACCCGCTCTGCCACCCACACTCCTACCACTCTTCCTCCTCCCTCTCAGTCCCATTCCTAATTTTTACTAAGATCTATTTTCAATTAACTTTATACCTATCTGATTAACTTTATACTAGGTAAAAACATTCAACAAATAGTATGGAAAAATAAAGTGTTCCTCACAGTCAAGACAAAGGCTGTTCAAAGTCACTGCATCTCAAAGTGTCAATTTCACTATAATAGATCACCTTTTAGGTGCTCTGTTAGTTATCACAGATGAGAGAGAACATAAGGCATTTGTATTTTGGGGACTGGCTTATTTCATTAAGTATAATGTTGTCAGTTTTCATCCATTTTTTTTTTTTTGCAAATAACAGGAATTCAGTTTTTATTCACTTTATTTTTTTGACAGGCAGAGTTAGAGAGAGAGAGAGACAGAGAGAAAGGTCTTCCTTTTCCCTTGGTTCACCCTCCAAGTGGCTGCTACGGCAGGTGCATTGCGACCAGAGCACTGCACCAATCCAAAGTCAGGAGCCAGGTGCCTCCTCCTGGTCTCCCATGCAGGTGCAGGCCCAAGGACCTGGGCCATCCCCCACTGCACTCCTGGGCCACAGCAGAGAGCTGAACTGGAAGAGGAGCAACCGGGACAGAATCCGGTGCCCCAACCAGGACTAGAGCCAGGATGCTGGGGATGAACCAACAGTAAACCAAACCCTAAACTAGTAGAAAAAAGAAAAAACTAAAATTAGAGAAAAAAAAATTCAACAAAATTGAATTCAAAAAACAATACAAAATATCAGCAAACTGAAGAGCTATTTTTGAAAAATAAACAAACTATTGGCCCAGCTAACCAAAAAAAAAGACAGAGTAGACCCAAATCAACAAAATTAGAGATGAAAAAGGAAATGTAACAAAGAAACCAAGAAATAAAAAGAATCGTCATAAGATACCCTAATCCCATGTTGGTGGGAATGTAAACTGGTAAAGCTGCTCTGGAAGACAGTTTGGAGATACCTCAAAAATCTGAATATAGACCCACCATTTGACCCAGTCATCCCACTCCCAGGAATTTACCCAAGGGAAATGAAATCAGTAAACAAAAGAGTTATCTGTACCTCCATGTTTATTGCAGCTTGATTCACAATGCTAAGGCATGCAATCAAAATAAATACCCATCAACCAAAGACTGGATAAAGAAATCATAGGATACATACACTATGGAATACTACACAGCAGTAAAGAAAAAATGAAATTAGTTCATTTGCAACTAAATGGATGAATCTTGAAAACATCATACTTAGTGAAATAAGCCAGTCCCCAAAGGACAAATACCATATGTTCTCTCTCAACTGTGAGAATTAATAGAGCACCTAAAACAAAATCTGTAGAAGTTAAATCAACATTCACTTCAAGAAGGGATGACTTGAGCTCCCCTTATCTTGACTGTCGAAGAACAGTTTTTGTTATTTTTCCTTCATACTTTTTTGAATTTTTTACTTAACAGTTAACCATATATGTATATGTATATATATGTATATAAAGTCAATTGAAAATAGATCTCAGTAAAAAATAAGAGTGGGAATAAGGAGGGAAGAGGAAGTTTGTAACTGTAAAGCTCTATAATTCTGCATATATTCCTGTGGACTTAATTCTAAGGGTACAGTTTAAAAACTTGTCATGGGACTCCAAATCCCATTAAGCCTGATGGTAAAAATCCCATCTTGGTTGTTAAAGTGGTCATATTAAGTGTTAAAGTATATATATATATATATGATCAAGTGCCTGGTAATAATAATAGAATTAAAAAAGAGAATGTTCCAACATGGGAAGTAGTTCACACAGCAGACTAACAGAATGACCATCACTTCAATAATACTCTGACATCAGATTCAGCTCTTCAGTCTTCCTGGTCTGGCTGAAAAGCACATGAGAGCATTTCAGGCAATGAAAGTCAAG